TTTACATTGTATCTTTTCCCATGGTTTTACTCTGAACCTATTCATGTGCTTGGATTTAAAGTGACTACTTTGTAGATAGCATATACATGGATCATTTCTTATTTATGCAGCTTGCCAGTCATTGCCTTTTAACTCAGGACTTTATTTAAATTTAAAGTAGTTATTGGTAAGACTTAACATCTTCCATTTTCTTTTTTTCTGTATGTCAGACCATTCCTTGTCCCAGAGTTCCTCTGTTATTATCTTTTGTGTATTACTGATTTTTATTGTATTGTCATTCCCTCTTATCTGTATGTTTTAATAACTTTGAAAATTATGATTAGCCTGCTAAACTTACTAACCTTTTTAAAATAAGTACCAATCTAAATTAAATATAAAAATTTGGCTTCTATACATTCTTATCTTGTCATATACTGAATATTTTAAATTGTGTGTCCACTAAGGTAGATTTGTAATTAGTATTATAAATATTTTTCTTGTAAATCATATGGAGAGGTTTTATAAACTCAAAATACAGTTATACTGGCCTCTATATTTACTAGTAGTTATCTTTAACGATATTATTTATTTCCTCACATGTCTTCAGTTTACTGTCTAGTGTCTCCTTCAATTCAAGCATTAGGACCCCCGTTAGCATTTCTTCCAGAGCAGTTTTACCACTAATGTCTCTGTTTCTCTGCCTTTCCCCCTCTCCCCTTCTTTCTCTCTCCCTTCTTTCCTTGCTTTTGTTTCTTACTTCATCCTTTTTGGTACATCATAATAAATACCCACATTTCAGCAGAAAGAACTGAAATTATAGCCCATTTGCTTCTGCTATATTTGAACTAGAAAAAAAATCTATGATACCAAATGAACATTAGGTTGCTAGATAAATACTTTAAATCATTTGTCATACATATGTTTAAAAAGCTAAAGAAAACCAGAACTAGAATTAAAGAAAGCCAGAAAGTATTATTTCAATAAATAAACCATATCAATAAAAATACAAATAAATAGTACTAGTAAAAATACATGGGATGAGCTGGGCGCCAGTGGCTCACACCTGTCATCCTAACTACTCAGGAGGCTGAGATCTGAGGATCATGGTTCAAAGCCAGCCTAGGCAAGAAAGTCTTTGAGACTTATCTCTAATTAACCACCAGAAAACAGGAAGTGGCGCTGTGGCTCAAGTGGTAGAGAGCTAGCCTTGAGGCTGAAGAGCTGAGGGACAGCGCCCAGGCCCAGAGTTCAAGCCCCACGACCGACAAACACACACAAAAACACAAACCATGGAGGGGCGGAGGGTTGAGAGTGAAGAAAACTGAGAGAAAATGAAGGAAGAGGTGACACTGTCTGGTAGGAAATGTACTCACTATCTGACTTACGTAACTACAACCCCTCTGTACATCACCTTTATTATAATAGAATAAAATAAAACAATGCAGTCAATCTGGAAAAAATGACATACATTATGAAAGGGTTCATATAAACATGTTACAGCTGAATAAGTGAAGGGAAATGGTAGCAGGGGTGTTCAGCAGCAGATTTAAGCACAGGAAAGAATAATCAAACTTGAAGATAGCTCCAGTGAAGTTAGGGTCTGAGATGCGGAAGCTGGCCTTAGCACACGTCCGTACCTACTAATGCACAGCACTAGTACTACCTGCAGCAACTTGTTGTGCCGTCTTGACGCAGGTCCCAGTCAGGCCAAATGGAAACGGCTTAAAAACTTCATGGCAGGCTCAAAGCAAAATTCGTGGCGAGATGGGTTTAATTGGCTCTTGTTGCAGTCAGCTGTCCACAACGGGTACCTGGCTGTTATCCTCAAGGTTGTGTGAGGCTAGGTCAAAGCCCACAAGGGGGTTCAAGCACAGTTCAACTCATAGAGCATACCTGACTGCAAACCCTCGAGCTGAGGGGAAGTCCCACAAAGATCTACCCTGCTTGTGTAACCTTTCTTCCGACTGTGCACTGTAAACGGCGGGCTATCTTCTACACATCCAGTAAGGTTCCTTTTTTCAGTGTTTGGGGAAACGCCAGCCTTTGGAGTTCCCCACTCTGCTGTTGTCACTATATTCGCTACCGTTATGATTATTATTTTTTTGGGGGGGTCCGGTCGTGGGGCCTGAACTCTGGGCCTAGGCGCTGTCCCTCAGCTCTTCAGCTCAAGGCTAGCCCTCTACCACTTGAGCCACAGCGCCACTTCCGGCTTTTTTTTCTGCTTATGTGGTGCTGGGGAATTGAACCCAGGGCCTCAGGCATGCAAGGCAAGCGCTCTACCACTGAGCCACCTTCCCAGCCCATGATTATTTTTTAATATATTTCTTTTGCCTGCATACTCTCTCAGTCTCTTGTCCTAAGACTTCACTCACATATACTATGCCTACTCAATGTGTAGCTCTGAATCAAACTTTCACTCTTCGTCCTTTTGTCTGTTGTTTTAGTTATGTTAGCTATTAACCACAAATCCGCTGTTTCTGATTTGATATCATGGATGAATATAAGTACCCTAAAACCCATTGGGAGCTGGGACACTAATCCCATGAAGGGTGCTTGTAGGCCCAGCAGCTGTAGAGGCTTGGCAGGAGGATTGCTTGAGCCCAAGAGTTCAAGACCAACTTGGATAATACAGCCAGGCCCTCTGTCTACAAGCAAAAAACAAACCAAAACACAAGTCCTTTAAGATTTAGGATTATTTCTTACTATTCAGAGGATTCCTTTTTTCGTGGTTAGATAGTAAAGGGGCACTTAAAATCGAGGGTCCTCTTAATTAGTTTTCAGATATAATAAGTTAGAGTTGGTAGCATATTGGGGACAAGTCTACATTCATTTCACAGTTGGTCTTAGAATATAGTCCTCCTGCTTTCAACCCATAGTTTAGAGCATTAACAAGGCAACTGCTGTTGAGTACTCTGAACTCAGTTTTTGTGTCCCTAGTCATATGTGACTGTTAAAAGATTCTACATCTCCTAGCTATAACTATTCAATTAGTGAATATCCCCTAGGACAAAGCAGCCTCAAATTTGACCTGCCTCTCTCCATCTCAGTTTATCCTGCGTCTTAGCACTGTGATTCTTGTGTTTTCTATGTCTTCAAACAGATACAAACATACATATTTCAGTCCTCAGCTTTTTAGATTTTCTTGAAATACATGTTGATTTTAAATACCTAATCCTGTAAATTTTCATTAGCAAGTCCTTATCTTGGTAGCAGAAATGCAAAACTTATTTTGATGGCATCCATCAGAAATTATAAATATGAGTAAATATCAAAGATTTTCCTTCTCAGTGTCTTTAAATACCTGACTTTTAAGCAAAACTTTTTTAGATGTAATGCATAAGACAACTCTTGGCATTCTACAGTGGCCTCTGATTTATTGCATAGTGCCAGGTGTATACGTGTTCATTTGTTATTTGACAGAACTTTATTTTGTAATCCTTTTGGCAGCAATAATTTTTCAAAAAATACCTTTTTAATGAAAATCCAGGTATTTTTATTTTTGTTTCTCAAGAAAACTAGTGATGAATGTAAGAGACATTTATTTTGTATGTCAGAGATCATCGTAATATCAGAAATCACATGAAGTCTGCAAACATAAGGATGTATTTCAAAAGTCAATGATTAAGAATGTTATGCCCCCAAAGTAACATTTTTAATACAGTTACAGATGGTGTGATTTATATTACTCTTCTAAAGTATCTCGGCTCATAGAGATTTAAAAAATCCCCACAATTGTATTTCCAAAATAATTTAGCACCTTTATTTTTGCATTTTTCTTGTGCATTTCCTAATACTGACTCCAGAGCCTTTCCTTTCTCTGCATAAATAATTCAAGTAAATAGATCATTTTAGAAATTACATTGATAATAATGAGTCAAAGTATTCTTAGCTGGAAGAACATCCTTAAATTTAATGTAATCTGAATAAATTTGACATGTTACTGTATTTTGTATTATATCTCATCAGATTAAAAGATTCTATGACCTAGCTGGCTAGCTGTGATTAAGAGTGAGAAATTTGTTTCCATTGTTTAATTTCCTTTAGTACAACTCGTTTTTATCATTTTAAATGGTAAAGCAACAAATACTGATTAATACGTTATTTATTGCAGTTCATTTTGTAACTTTAGGGGTTTGGGAATTAAATGTATTTGGGGTGTTTCTGAAATTACTACTGAGAGTATAACATATATGGAGATGAGTGTTGATTTGAGGTGAATGACTGTCCAACATACAAAGTTTTCTAAGTGCTTATTTGTCATGTGGCCTAGTTGTGGTTATGATTTTATTTAGAAACTAATGTTATAATTTATACAGCCATGGTAAACAGTACATGATACATTATATATTTATAATTTATATAATTCCTTATGTCATTTTGTGATCTAAGTAAATGGATTAGGTAGGTTTATTTTACCGTTTAGAAAACTGTTTAAATTTTTATTTTGTTTTCGGTATTTCACTAGCTCTTTATCATACAGAAAAACCCAAATAGTTTTACAACTTGGGGTAGGGAGGAGTTGGGGAAGTGGGAAGGCAAGGGGAAAACAAAGGAGGGGGTACTCATCTTACTCATGTGACTGTAACCCCTCTGTACAGTATCTTTACAATAAAAATATATCTTAAGAAACAAATAGAAACCCAAATAGTTACATCTTGACAATTCTTACCTTTCACATGGTTGGAAAGGGCAAGGTTTATTTTTTAAAATACCAATTTAGAGGTCGCTATCTTTGATGTTGAAAAGAATGACAATGTCTTATTGTCATTGTCATTCTCTTCAAGGACATCCTAATTGCTTGTTTCACTCATTTTCTTTGTGCATGGTACTTTTGGTAACTGTATTTTTCAAAGGTAGCACTATTTATGTGAAGATACTTTATGCAGTTCTCTTTTCCCAAGTTAAAAGTAAGTTTGATTCAAAGGCATATATAAACCAGCCTGTATTTTTTGGAACTAGTTAAAAATCACGGCCACGTCATGAGTTTTTTTTTTTTTTTTTGTATTTTATATTTCAGGAAAGTTAAAGGAGGGAATATTGATGTACACCCATCAGAAAAAGCGCTCATTGTTCAGTATGAAGTGGAGGCCACCATTCTTGGAGAAATGGGGGATCCCATGTTAGGAGAACGAAAGGAATGCCAAAAAATGTAAGTAGTGAATCTACACAGACCTGATGCCACTTTGATCTTCATAGGCAATAGGTGATCACAGCGTTCTTTAGAGATAGGTTATCTTAGAGAATTATATTAAACTTTAACTATAAAATATGTTTATTCCAAATAAAATGTTCCTGTCACGACTGACCTGTAAAGTCAGTCATAAATGCTACATGTATGTGGGACTTTTCAGTTCAATTAAAAATCCTCGGTTTTCTCTTTCCTGGAATTTCGTGAAGTATGACTTTCAGAAGTTCCCAGTTAGGACACAGAGCTTGAATACTCACTTGAAAATCTAGTCCGCTGCAACATGTTAGTAATATCACAAGATTTTTCTGGCTCAAAAGATTAGTTTTAGTTCTCCTAGTATCTTGTGTACTTTCCTAGTTGCTGTTGTAGCTGTCCCTTGGGAACTGGGTTTTTTTACTAGCCTGGATTTGTGCTGGTCATGATCTTGCCTGCCTTCCATCGCTTTTCAGAAATTTAGATTTGGGAGTCACTAATATTCTCATTCAACCCTCCTTTCTCCATAAACAAATAAATGAAAGGACCTAACTTTTACTTGGTAACTAGTTAGAGAAAACTCTACTATTTCCTGGTTTGTGAGTTACTGGGAACACATGTGATAATATTTAGCACGTTAAGTGTATGGTGATGATCCTCAACTGGGAGTGGTTTTTTCCCACAGGGGATATTTAGCAGTGTCTGTAGATATTTTGTAAGGAGGAGGGGGGCATGGCCATACATTGGCTAGAGGCCAGCTGACTGTTGCCAATTATGATGTACTACACATGCTAGCCACCTACAGCTTCATAGTGCTGCAGCCAGGAAACCCTTGCTTATAGCGGTCTTCAAGAGAACTTGCTGAGTAGCTTAACTACACCTTAACTGTCCTTTGTCTTTGGATTAGAGGGAGGCTAACTGACATTAATAATGCATTAAAAATGAATGAATCCTCTACAATAAAGAGAGATTTTACACATGCATTCTTACACAGTACAGCACCTTTTGGTCACATTCTCCCTTCCATTTACGTTTGAGTGATTGTTTGCCAAAGTCTATATATTTTGAGAACACATAACAATCTCTATTTGACTTCCCAAGAAAAGCAGCAGATTGGATTCTTAGACTTTAGAACCTCATGTATCCATACTTCAAGAGAAATTTAATTTTTAGTTCTTAAAGGTGTCCTCACTAGTTTTTTAATGTAGAATTTGACAAAAATATTAGTGCTTTAAAATCTTCAGGCTTTCTAGTCAAGAATTACATTCAGCAGGGAGTTGGAAACAAGAATAAGAATCTGTTCTGTGATTAGAGTATGTGCACTTAAATCTTAGCAAGAAAAGACCTGAATAACTCAAACAGGAAATCAACCCTGGCTGCCCAGGATTTGGAGAGTAATCATATTGTTGTACACAAAGAAAATGTGCTTGTAATTCAAGAAATTTTCTCAGTGGTGTAGCGGAAGGGAATCTCATATAGGATGAGAGAGGTATGAATTGAACCTGTTATTAAGTTGGAGTCATCAAGGCTGTGGCCCAGATATGGTAAAGAAATTTTACAAGCTTGTCTTTATGAGAATTCCAGTTTTGTACAGATTTTGTTTTGAGACAATGATGATTATGGTCCAAAAATAATACAAGTGATAAAGTTTTTGATAAATGGTAATAAGCATGAAGTGCCTAATGAAAATGTTGTATGTTGATTATAGGAATGGTCCAGTATCCATACAGCTAAAATTTTCTAAAACATTTCTCGATATACCTGTATTTTTTCATGTCTTCTTAACAAATGAAGGTGAAGGGAACTGTCTGTTACTCTGAGTAGAAAAGGTTGCATCAAGTTGCTACTATGTATGTGGTAGAAAACACCTAAAAGAAGCTTGTAAGCCTTTGTATATTAAACCAATAAGGGAGACTAGTAGAATGGCTAACGTGCAAAGTGCTAACAATAGCAGATTCTGCAAGAATGTGGAGTAATAAGGACTTTCATTTATAGCTGATGGGAAAATAAACTAAGCATATATTTTGCAAGAAAATTTGGTGGTCTCCTACGAAGCCAAATATAGGCTAACCATATTATCTAGCATTTGCCCAGCAAAAGTCTTTATTTTTAATTGCCAACAATTGGAAGCCACCAAAATATCTTTTGATGGTGAATCTCTAAAGAACAAGATTTAGATTTTATTGGGATTAATATCTTAACTCATTCTACTGGCTTCCCAGACCATTTCCTTGACTTCTCAACCCTGGTCCTTTTACTAAGAAATCATTCAACAGGATGAAGACTTGATTGGTTTCCTCTTTTTAAATTTAAGATCTACAAAGAAGCATCTACTTGAGAGTGTTTTGTCATTACATTAACTTTTTACTCTGAATCCATTTTTTGTTTCGTCATTCTCTCCCATATATGAATCTGTGTAACGGGCATTTGTCGTCAGACTGCGCCATCTTTTCTTGGCTTGTTAGTGAATCACTTGTGTTATATTCAGATGATGGGAAGGAGTGTTGAATAAAATTTACATGTAAATTAATACATCAAAAAAGTTTAACACTCCTGTTACTCAAAGTTTCCCATATAGGTCTTAAAATACATCTCACTTTTCTTCTACTTTCTATATTCTTACCAGCAAAGCAATTAAAATCTAAAAATATCAAGGTTTTGTCTTGTCCTTAACTAGAAAAAAAAAGCAGTAGGAAAGGTCGAGAAAATGATTTACTTGTTGCAGGACAAATTCAAAAATCAATATTGATTAAAGATTCATATACTTTTATATCTGAAAGGCTGCAGGACCTCTGAATGTGCTGTCCTGCCTAGAGATTCAGAAAAAAAAATTGTTTCCTTTGTCCAAATCATAGGAAATAATTCCCTCAAATTTTCTAAGCATAATTAGATGTAATACTTCATTAAGATTTTACAAGCGCATGTAGACTCTGTTATCTTAATTTAAAGTAGTAGTGTTGGATCTGTGGAGTACTTCTACCATATCTGAGTTGGACTTTTGGATATCGTTGCAGTATTCGTCTGAAAAGTCTGAATGCTAACACAGATATAACTTCTCTGGCTCGAAAAGTGGTTGAAGAGTGTAAACTCATCCACCCCTCCAAATTGAACGATGTGGAGCAGCTGTTGTACTACCTACAGAACCGCCGGGTTTCCTGGTCAGGGAAAGGTGAGCGGAGTGCCGGACTTTAGTCAGAGCTGGATTACAATTTCAGCTTCTTTGAATTTGAGTGAGGTTTATCACGTGTGCTATGAACAAGTAAACTAATGGAAGAATGAATAATTATATTAGTTTTCAGTGTGGTAGGTTTTATGCTTCCATATAAAATAATCTCATTTGTTTCATTTTATATGTAAGGAATATATATTTACCAAAATAAGGAATAAATAAGGAATCTGTTGTTGGTTGTAAACTAATAAAAGGAGAAAAGTTAAAGTATAAAACCTATTTTATATGCCCTAACTAGAGTTAAAAAGTTCAAAGTGGCGCTGTGGCTCAAGTGGTAGAGTGCTAACCTTGAGCTGAAGAGCTGAGGGACAGCGCCCAGGCCCAGAGTTCAGGACCCACGACCAGATCCAAAAAAAAAAAAAAAAAGTTCAGAAATTTCCAAATTTATTAATGATACTTGATTTATTAGTTGAATGGATTGTTTTAAGTGTTAAAATATATATCCTTTGCCTTAGTCTATCCTAAAGATGTAACTATTGGAACATCCCAGTATCTATTTGCTATTTATTCCTCTATTTATCTATTTGCCATTTTCCTATCCTCACTTCCTCAGTGAAAGAATTATGCAAGTAACGTATTAGCACTAAGAAGTACTTATTTACAAAAATAAAAGCAGATTATGTGGGGGGGGGGCTTGAATCCCCCAGGTTTGCTCAGCTTGCTTGCTCACAGGTGGTCCTGTCCCACTTCAGGAATGCCTCCAATCTAGTTAGTTGTCAATAGAGTCTCAGACTCTTCTGCTCAGGATAGCAGAGGATTCCATCAATCAGAGTGTTGAACATTGATCCTGTGATTTCAGCCACCTTCGAAACTAGGATTAAAGGCATGAGCCATCAGCACCCAGCAATTTGGTATTTGTTGTTGGTGGTGGTGGTGTTTTATGTGTGGGGTTGGTGGAAGGTATTGTGTTTTCAACTCAGGGCCTCATTCCCACTTGGTTTGCTTGCTTGGTTAATGCTCTATTCTTACTTTCTCCGTTTTGAATAATTATCCCCATTTCACAATCTTTACCAAATGTATGGTTCTTCAACATTGAAACATTCCAAAATGTGATACTCTTACAGTAACATGTCTGTGCTCAAATTTGGACTGGGCTTAGTACATAAATATTAACATTTTGTTTGGGATTTTTTTTGCCCATATTAGTCTTCTCTATATTTACAGCAAATAAATACCTGTGCCTAATAAATACTGCTAGCACTGAATCTTAACAGATGCATGCACATGTTATTGAATGAACTGAATGGCTGTACACTTATTCTTAAAAGCAAAAAAGGCATTTTGAACTTGAAGTATACTTCTTACCAGTAAGTGCTCACCTACCAAGATATAGAAAACATTATCAAGAAAAAAATTATACAAATATTCTCAGAATAATCTTGTTAGGATATCTATATATGAAGAGAGATAACATCTTCAAATAAATTTGAAGTGAGCAAAATCATCAATGTTTGAACTTTTGTATGTACAATAATGTAGGTTGTACAATAGTTAAAATTAACTTTTCCTAGTGCCAAATCAGTAGTTTTAAAAGCATTTATAATAAAACACCTGTAGACTCATGAAAAGAAAAGAATGAGTTTTCAAGGAAAGTCAGCATTTTCTCTTTCCTAAAATTAAAGAAATATGAAAGAAAATTTTGTCATCATATATGGACAAAATAATTCAACAAATGTTATTCTTTAGATATTATTGTTGATGACTATATGCAGTGCTTTGCTATGCTTAATCTATGCTTATTTTTAATTATTCAGTTTTTCTTAACATTTTAATTTGGTATTTGATATTTCATAGCCACAGAACCCCTGCCCTAGAGGGTGGTCCTGTATAACTGTATAATTCATTTTTTTCCTTGCTGATTGAAACTTCTCGCATACTAAGTTGTCCACTTAAGGCAAAACTTAGCTGTTGAGATTATAAGGACATTATCTAGAATGGTGGCTGTCTTCTGAAAATTATTTATCTTTGTGTTCCTTGAAAGTACAGGCTTTCTCTAGCATTTTAACCATTTCCAGACAAAAATATTACTCAACCATATTTTCAATATCACATTGTTTGTACAATGAGTTTTATTGTGACATTTTCGTTCTTGTATATAATGTGTTTTGATATTATTTGTAATTCATTTGCATGCATACACGCTTACTCTCTCTTATCTCCTCTACTCTCTGGTCTCTTCTTTCCTAATAGTCTACAATAATGGATAATTGTATTATATGTGTATTTATCTGCTAGTTTTAAAACCAAAATTTTGATATTTCTGATTTCTTTTAATATGCATTCATTGTTTTTGTTTTTGATTAGGCTCATAGAAAATATAATTATGCTTCTAATTAAATAACTCAGTATAATAAATGTCTCAGTTGTGTCAAAGCCTTTGAATATTTTATTTGGGAATAAGTAAGAATTTAATTAATATAATTTTAAGTATTTGTCTTAATTTATTACTTTAATTTGACTTGTCAGACAAGAATCAATTATTTTAGCTTATGAATTTACCCATCACTTTTATTATTTTTTCTGCTAACTTTTAGTTTTCATATTGCTCATTTACTAATATTACTCATGTTTCTCTTTGCCTTACTTATTTACCTATTCCTGCCTTAAATTTGAATTAGGAAGGGGAAAATAGACATACTTAGAATTTACTATTTTGGCTCTTATTGGAGAATTTATCTGTATACTTATCCCAAAAGTTAGCCAAGGAGGACTTTAAAGTTACTGCTCAACATAAATTTTGTCATGTGTTATATATTTTATTAGTTTGTACTAATAATATAGTATACTCCTTTGATAGCATCATTGGGATTAGCTGAATGAATTATAAATAAGCATTTTTTTACACATGGAAAAAAGATTTCAATAAAAATTTCATTCTAGTAGCTTCCAGTTATAAAGAATCAAACAGAGCAGCTGAAAGTAAAAATTTCTCCAAACTAAAAATGTAGTTTTTCTCATTTAAATTTGTTTCATTCTTCACAGAAAAGAAAGAAAAATCAAGCAAGCCCAAAGATCCACCTCCCTTTGAAGGAATGGAAGTAAGTGTATATGAATCCTGATCTAATAAATACTTTTGAAAATAACCTCATTAATAAAATGTTGAATTTTCAATGATGACTGAACTTAGAGGTCCTTGAGAAAGATAGATAATAAGTAATTAACAATGACAAACATTGGTGTGCTTTTTAGACATAATTTTTATTTTAAGTGGTAAAATATCTTGATGTTTTTATAACAGTATATTTTAAAATACCAGTTAATGTACTTCTGTAAACACACATTACTTTGTAATATATGTAAAATACTTTATATTTTGAATATTTTATGGGGTAGAGAATGTGACTGTGGTAAAGTGCTTCTCTAATATGTGCAAAGCCCTGGTCTCCATCCTCAGCACGACAAAAACTAAATCAAACTCTTTATACTGATAGACAAACTTTAGAGTTTATATATGTCCCTCTTTGCCATAGTTCATGCTTTTTGTATTTACGTCCTAGTATCCAAGGGCATAAAATCTTCATCTATAAAAAGTTGGGTGCTATAAGTTATTGGTAATTTGTTAATTCTGATAATATCACAAAGTATCATTTCTTTGACAACGAATCTGTAGTTGAGTACTTATATCTTTGTTTCAGATTGATGAAATTGCTAACATAAATGATATGGATGAATACATTGAGTTATTATATGAAGATATTCCTGACAAGGTTCGGGGTTCTGCTCTGATCTTGCAGCTTGCTCGAAATCCTGATAACTTGGAAGAACTACTATTGAATGGTGATTTGTGTTTATAAAAAGCATTCCTACTCTGTGAAGTTTGTATTCATATCTTATGTGTATGCATACACAAGTGATTTTCATGTCTTAAATATTTATATTCTAAATACGAATCATTTTATTTAGGAGTATTTTTCTCTGAGTCTCTTCCTCCTCCTCTTTCTCTCTCTGACTCTCTCAGCTTATTCTTTTCTACCCTTTCATTATCATCATTTGTGTCTTTGAATCTAAAGAGTTTCTATTGAAGATAGGGTTTGATTGGATCATGATATCTTAGTGGGTTTTTCTAATCCATTTTTATCCATTGGAGTATTTAATCCACTTATACTAATGAAATCACTCATAAAGTAGGATTTGCATCATTTTATATTTGTTATACATATAAGATTTGTTTTATATTTATATTATATTTGCAGACATTTTTGTAATAGTTTTCTATGTGTCTCTTGCCTTTTTTGTTCTATCCCTTCAGTATTTCCTTCTTTTGTGTTGATATTTTCTAGTTTGCCAGTGTTTGTTTTGGTTTTGGGTTTTGTTTTGTTTTTTTGTTTTGTTTTGTCAGTTCTGGATCTAGAGCTGTTTTTCTCAAGGCTGGCATTTTACCACTTGAGTAACACCTCTACTTCTGTCTTTTTGATGTTTAATTGTAGTCTGAAGAACTTTGCTGCCTGGGTTGGCTTTGAATTGCAACCCTTAGCTTCCAGAGTAGCTAGGATTACAGGCTTGAGCCACCAGCACCCAGCTCCTACCAGGGTTTTGTGGTCTCGTTTTCCTGAATTATTTTTATCTGAGAGAAAAATTTCAAGCAATCTTATTCAAATTCATACCAATTTCATTTTAACAATATGCAAATGTTTACTCTAATAACCCATTTTGTACTGTTATATTGTGCAAATATGTATTTGTATATTATAAGCTCATTAATATATATTATATAAGTACCATTCTATACATTTTTCTTATAAGGCAGATAGAAGACAACCATTGGAAATTTTTATCTTGTCTTATAGTTACTTTTGTAGTTACTTTTGCCAGTAGTCTGAATTTCTTTTTTTTTTTAATTGTGAAAATACTGTACAGAGGGGTTACAATTACATGGGCAAGATAATGAGTACATTTCTTATCAAGCATTGTAGCCTCCTCCTTTGTTTCCCCTTCCCATCCCTTCCCAGCCTCCCCCTGCCTCCCCATTCAATCCTCCCCGCTCCCCCTCCCTGAATTTCTTTATGTGGATTTAAATTCTAAATAGTTTACTTTCATTTTAGCTCAATATTCCTTTTAGTACTTCTGGAGAAGAGAACCTGCTACTTTAAATTTTCTTAAAGTTTTTGTTTACCAAACATTGAGTTTTTCCTGTTTTAAAAGAGAATTGCTGGAAATAGAATTTTTTTGGGGGGGGGGTCCGGTCGTGGGGCCTGAACTCTGGGCCTGGGTGCTGTCCCTCAGCCCTTCAGCTCAAGGCTAGCACTCTACCACTTGAGCCTCAGCACCACTTCCAGCTTTTTTTTTTCGGCTTATGTGGTACTGAGGAATCGAACCCAGGACCTCATGCATGCAAGGCAAGCGCTCTACCACTGAGCCACCTTCCCAGCCCTGGAAATAGAATTTTTGATTGACAGGAATTCCGTTGCACTTTGAATGCTGTTACCTCTCTGCATTCCTGACTCCTGTTTCTGATGTGAAATCAGTTATTGACCTTATTGTGGTCCTATGCAGATGTCAACTTGCTTTTCTCCATCATTCTTTGTGCCCTCTTTTTTGCCACTTAAACACTATAAAGTTGTTTAGTGTTGATATCCTTGAGTTTTATTTTACTTGCAGTTTGTTAAGCTTCTTGGCAGTGTGAATTAGGATTTTTCAATAAGCAGGAAGTATAGAGTCATAGTATTCATTAGATATTTATTCTGCCCTTTACTCTCCTCTGCTTCTGAGATTCTTGTCATGTTGTGTTTTGTGGTGCTTCATAGGCCTTTGAGACTCTGGTTATTTTGTCTTCAATCTTTTTTCTTTCTTTTCCTCACATTGAATCTAAAGTGGCTTGTGTTCATAGAATGGGTTCTTTTTCTAATTCATATATTTTATTAAGATCCCTGGCGAATCCAGGCACCAGTGGCTAAAGTTTACAATTCTAGCTACTTAGGAACTGAGATCTGAAGATCTAGGTTTGAAGTCAATCCCAGACAGACCAAGTGACTCTTATTTCCACTTAACTAGTAAAAATCTGGAAGTGGAGGTATGGCTCAAGTGACAGAGCCACTGGCCTTGAGCAAGGGTACAAGGCCTAGAGCTTAAGTTCCAATGCAAGCACAGTAAGCCAGACCTAGCATTGGTGGGGGGAGGGGTATCACTCCCTAAGTGAATTTTGTACTTCTGTCTGGCTCTTTATAAAATAATATGCACCCTTTAAGACATAATTCTTGTACCTTCACAGACTTCCCTTAAAAATTTTTTTGGTGTGTATATGTGTATGTGTACATGTGCATTAGTACAGTTTGAACTTAGGACCTCAAGCTCTGTTCTGCTTGTTTATTCATGGCTGGCTCTGCCACTGGAGCCATGGCTCCAGTCTGACATTTTGCTAATTAATTTGAGATAGTTTGTCAGGTTTTTCTGCTGAGGCTGACTTCAAATAAATCTTCCAGGGTTCAGCCTTCTGAGTAGCTAGGATTACAGGCACAAGCCTGTAATTCTTTAGAGATAGTTTTCTTTAGTTTTTATGTAATTATAATCTTTGTCTTCTCATGAGCAGTTTGTGTTTGCAGTTTGATTTCTAAGTAGAGGCCTTATTCTTCTTCTTTGCATGCCTTGTTGTTCCTGTTGAAATGACAACTTTGGAAATCAGATTCTCCTTTGCATGCCTTCTTCCTGTTGAAATGACAACTTGGGAAATCAGATTTCTACTACCTCCAAAGTTTGCTGTTGATTCTGTTTAGTGAGATTTGTGAATTCATTTCATAATGTCTATATCCTTTGTGTAATATGATCACTGAATTCTTTGCTCTAGCTTAGTGGTCAGCTGTTTTATAAAGAAGTTTTCTTACATGGCAGACAGTAAGTCTCTCAGACTTGGTTGAAGGGATTGTTGTATGTGTGTCTGTGTGTGCGTGTGTATGTGCATGCATGCACTTGCATGTGCATGTTCTACACACACACACCTTTAATGCTCCATTATACAATACTATGCCATTACTTCTGGCTTGCACATTGCCTCGCTTCATTCAGAGATGAGAGCTTGGGCCTTCCCAATTTTTTTCCTGGGAAGTACACTACTCTGCACCTATGCATGGCTCTTGAGACCTCCAGGGTATGCTAGAGCTTGGTAAAGTCCCCAGATAAAATGAACTAATATACAAGACAAATGGTACAGAAATGAAAACACCAGGGAATAAACCAAAAGGGAAAACCAAAAGAAATAACTGCAAACAGAACACTAAAAAAAAATCTTGGGCTGGGAATGTAGCTCAGTGGTAGAGTGCTTGCCTAGCATGCATGAAGTCCTGGGTTTGATTCCTAGTACCACATAATCACAAAAAGCCAGAAGTGGCACTGTGGCTCAAACGGTAGAACGCTAGCCTTGAGCACAGAGAGGCTCAGGGACGGTGCCCAGGCCCTGAGTTCAAGCCCCAGGACTGGCAAAGCAAAAGCAAAAACTTCTTGTTTCCATTTCTTGGAGTTCATTTCGATAAGCATCATTTTATATAGTCATACGCACATAGCTTTTGAGCTGTTGTGATCCTCTGCTAGGACTATCCTAGACATATTCTAGTCATTACAGATGAGGGAAACGATGCCGCCTATGTTTCTTTGGGTCTGGCTTGCTTCGCTGAATATAATTTTTTCCAAGTATTTCTATGTCCTTACAAATGGTGCAATATCATTCTTTCTGATGGAAGCATAGAATTCCACTGTGTATATACCCCACATTTTCTTGATCATTCATCTGCTGAGGGGCATCTGCCCTCAAACAGATTTGAGAATTCATCTGTCTTTTTTTTTAAGATTTTTTTTGTCAATTTTTGCAACATAGTGAAGCTACAGTTGTGTTGGTACCATCTATAGTCTCCACCAAATACCCCAAGTATATGCACAGCAAGCACTGCCTCAAGTCAGAGACTTGACACTCGGCTCCCTGACAAGGAGCAGCTGTAATGGAGCACAAGGACAAGTCTTCGGGGCAGTGTGGGGTGGGGTGTGGGGACTGTGGGGAGCCTCAGACTGTTCTCCTCGACCCGTGCCAGCCTCCTGGCTTGCACAGATGTCAGAGTTGTGATGCTGTTGTTTTCAACACTCCCCAGAACCCCGTGGTGAAGGTAGAATTAGGACAAGTTGAATCACCACAGATCTCAGCATCTTTACTGGTAGTATTGGTGTTTGAACTGAGGGCCCAAGTCACTTTGCTCCCCCTTGAGCCACACCCTCAGCCTTTTTTGCTTTATGCATTCTTTTCGTGTGGAGTCTGCCATTCTTTTCCTGGCTGTCCTTGGGTCATGGTCCTCATGCTGTATGCCTCTCCCTAGCTGGGATGGCGGGAATGCCTCACCATGCCTGGCCTTTTGTTGGCTTCCTAAATAGCTGGGATTATAGGATTGTATACTAGGATTATACACCTGGAATGGCGGTGATTTCTTCACTACACACTGAGAATTCCTTTAAACCTTTAGGTTATTCCTCCGTTATGAAAAACTTCATTGTTTTCTCAGTTTTCCCATTCTCCTACAGAATATGTTTTTGGAGATCCTTTGTCTAACAGTTGAGATTTGTTCAAAGTGAGAGGTTAGGTATTTCATTTTAATTTTTTCCACATTGAATATCCATTTATTCCAAGTGTTCAGTTAGTAAACAGTCTTTACCAAGTACCCAACATACATTTTGTACAATGTACCTACCATTCTATTATGGGTTAGATAACTTATGGACTAGTACCATGCTAGGTACTATTCCTGTTTATTCATAAATCTGATTTATTGATCTTCCTCTCCATTCCATTAGTCTGTTTGATGAGTTCATACTAATACTATACTGTTAGTTATTGTTTTAGATTTTGACTAGAGTTCTAGAATATGTAAGAGAAATTTGTCTTTTTCCTTTAGGAATTTGCTTATTACTATTTTCATAAAACTGTATCCAGTGGAATATCATGAAATTTTGTTTGTCATCACATTCAATTCATAGATTAATTTTGAGTTAGCTTTTTAACCTTTTATAAATTAGATTCTTTAATACATAGGGGTTTTTTTGAAGTTTTGCATACTAAAATTTACTACCTTGACTTAAGAATAACTAATCAAAACAAAACATTCCAGTGCTCTACATTATGAATGTGTAAATACTATAAAATGCTATCAAAGGGTTTTTTTATTTGCTAAAATCACCACTAAGTAGTTTACTAATACAGTTAATTCTTATTTCACCATCTAAATAGCCAAAAGCTGAAATAAACTGAATATTTAATAGCTATAATAAATGCTGATAATGTTCATGGACTACATCGATCAAGCATTCAAAATAGCTTCCTATGTTGGAAGGAAACATCCTACTTTGTTGTCCCAGTTCCATTTTCTCTTTATTATTTATTGATCAGTAGACATTTAAAACCAATCAGCATTTACAGAGAAGCAAGGCAGGTAACCTTTTGTGTATATCTTCTTTTTCTTCAGAAACTGCCCTTGGTGCACTAGCAAGAGTCCTAAGAGAAGACTGGAAACAGAGTGTCGAGTTAGCCACAAACATAATCTATATCTTTTTCTGCTTTTCCAGGTAGGTATAAGAACTGTAATATGTCTAGTCTGAGTTGATTGTGTATATCACTGGCTCAGTGATACACTCAGTCTTGGCTGTGCTGTGTGCTGACCTTTGAGCAATATATTACTCCTGTTGCTGATTCTCTATCATTTTCAGTTATTCTTGTTTTTGGTCTGTATTCACTCTTGCCTCTACACACACACACTCACGCGCACGCACATGCACAAACACACATGCACGCACGCACACACACACACACACACACACACACGAGGGCTTGGTTCAATGAGTCAAGAGCTTGAGGATAGCTTTTGGGAGGACCGTCTCAATTTGCGTCCTCCTATTTAACTATGTGATCTTGGTTATTCTACTTATGCCTCAGTTTCTTCATGTGTAAAATTTAGATATTAATAGTGTCCTTCATATAGATTTTAAAGTTAAGTGATTAAAATTTAAAATTCTTAGAGTATTTAGTAAATGCTTTTGTTTTATATAGGCATACCTGTCCAGAAACAAGTACATACATGCTATATATTATGTGTTGGATTTAATCACATTTGTATTTCAATAATACTTTATGAATTTTGTGCATATTTTTAGGATATATATGGACACATATACATACATATGGTACATGTGGACAGTAGACAGGTATCACATCAGTGTAATTAGCATTTCTGTTTCCTTCAGCATTTATCATTTCTTTATGCTGGGAATGTTTGAACTCTCCTCTTCCAGTTCATTATAAACATAGATTGTGGAATGTTGTAGACTATAGCAGTTGTGCAGTGTTGTAGAACATTATTAGGCCTTTTCCTATGTGTTTTGGCACCTGTGTTCATCCTGCCTCCTCCCCTCCTCTTGGCCCTTCTAAACCTCTAGCAACCACTACTCTACTCTCTACCTAAATGAGAACAACTTTTTTAGCTTCCACATACAGTCAAGGACACGCGGCATTTGTCTTTCTGTGCCTAATTAATTTCATCCAGTTCCATCCATGTGGCCAGATGGCAGGATTTCATTCTCTTTCTGACTAAATAACATTGTATCTAAACATTTATATATTCTTTTTTTATTTTTATTGTGAAAATACTGTACAGAGGGGTTACAATTACATGGGCAAGATAATGAGTACATTTCTTATCAAGCATTGTAGCCTCCTCCTTTGTTTCCCCTTCCCATCCCTTCCCAGCCTCCCCCCGCCCCGCCAAACATTTATATATTCTTAAGAGGCATGATAAGGCTGGGCGCTGGTGGCTCACGCCTGTAATCCTAGCTACTCAGGAGGCTGAGATCTGAGGATCGCGGTTCAAAGCTAGCCCGGGCAGGAGAGACCGTGAGACTCCTATCTCCAATAAATCACCAGAAAACCAGAAGTGGTGCTGTAGTTCAAGTGGTAGAGCGCTCGCCTTGAGCTGAAGAGCTGAGGGACAGCGCCCAGGCCCAGAGTTCAAGCCCCACGACCGAAAAAAAAAAAAAAAAGAGGCATGATAAGAAGAATGTCTAGCCAATTTCTAAAGCTATTACCTCTATTCTAAAAATGTGCCAACATTAGCAATTAAATATCTTTTGGAATATTTGGAATGATTATTCCTTGGAATAATTATCAAGCATGTAAAACCTGGTCGCTGGTCGCTAATATGTTACAGGTTTATTTTCTGTTGTTACTTTTGTTGTTGTTGTTGGTCGTGGGCTTGAACTCTAGGCTTGGGCACTATCCCTCAGCTCTTCAGTTCAAGATGAGCGCACTATCACATGAGCCACAGCACCACTTCTGGTTTTCTAGTGGTTTATTGGAGATAAGAGTCTCATGGACTTTCCTGCCCGGGCTGGCTTTGAACCATGATCCTCAGATCTCAGCCTCCTGAGTAGCTAGGATTACAGGCATAAGCCACCAGCGCCCAGCTGTTGTTAATTTTATATAGTAAATAAAATGTGCCTCTAATGTTGTTACATTATTAATTTTACTAGACAGTAGACTGAAATTTCATCATAGACTATCTCAGGAGTTATAATTGTTAATAATAAAAATGTATTCAATTCTTAAAATTAATACTTCAAGGAGGTATGTTAAAACTTATATAAACATATATATGGTTATAGATATATACACATATATGTATAAACATCTTATACATATTTTTATATGTATATACTATGGATTATACTATGGATATGTTATAATTATACTATGGATATGTTAATCTATATATTTTATACATGGGTGTGCCAGTGTTTGCTGAAACTAAATTTTCTATCTCAACAAAATATATGCCACTAATTATATATTATAATCTCTTCTTTAAAGCTTTTCTCAGTTTCATGGACTTATTACTCACTATAAAATTGGAGCTCTGTGTATGAATATCATTGATCATGAGTTAAAGAGACATGAGCTCTGGCAAGAAGAACTCTCTAAAAAGAAGAAAGCTGATATCCTTTCAGAGTTCTGTTTCTGTCATTTTTTTTGTTTTTAATTACTAGTTACATTGTATGGAATCATGCAAGAATGTGTTTAACATTAATGAAGATTAAAACAATCAGGTTGTCATCTCTACAACCATGAATAATGAGACAGTAGTTGATAACTGCTAAAGTGGCTATTCTGTATCGCTTGCTCTTAGGAAGTGCCACTCTACTGCTGCTTAGGTCCTTTGCAAGCACAAAGACTTCTTTGATAGGAATGGATACACATTTTGTGTTGAAGCTAGCCTAAGCTTCTATTTGTCGGGCAAGATATATTTTTATACTTAAGTGCAAAAAAAAGTGAGGATTTTTTTTGTGGTTAAATTTAGGACCTGTGCTTGAAGCCAATGTTTGTTTATACCTTTTAAAATGAAAACATTATTCCTGTTGAGAGAGTATAACACATGGTTGACCTTTCATTTATGGAAAAAGTGGATCTTATTCTTCACAACATTTTTCTCTTTTAACATCTCTAGTCTGAACAGGAAGCTAAGACCTCTTAGATTGAATCTGTGCCCTTTGAATGTTCTGGGCATGTGTCTAAAGTGAAAGTTAGTGTTCTTAGTGTTCTAAGTCTCTTCATGGCAATAATCTTGTGCATGGGTCCACTTGGTAATCTTTTGAAAGTTACAGATTTCCCAGTTTACACAAAATATTCGCATGGGATTTCTAAGAATCCAAGTATTAGATGAAATCCAAACATATCCTCACTTAGGCCCATGGAAAACCCTTGAGAATGTGGTCAAGATGTCTGTTCTAGCTCAATTAGTGTGCAGAGAAAAATTTAAATTACTAGTTAGAAAATAAAACTAGAAAAGTTGCATGTAAAACTTGAGTGCTGTTCTTCTAGATTTTTTTCAGTAGGTTTCCTTAGCTTCAGTTTGTATGTATGATCCTTAACTTAAGTTTGGTTTTTGTTTTTTTACTTGATGAAGACCTTGAAAATCAGACCTTGAAAAAGGATTATGAAAAAACATTTAAAAAATACCAGGGGCTTGTGGTAAAACAGGAGCAGCTACTGCGAGGTATGAATTCCTAAACTAATAGAAAATCGAGAAAGTATTTGTTATATAAATGCTTGGTTCCATTTTTGTCACACCAGTGAGCTAGTGAGCTAATATGAGAATAATGGAAAGTTAGATAAACTTTCATATGTCTCAGTTTCTTCTATCTTTAGTTTGAGTGATAATGTTTTGGATTTCACCATACATTTTCCCTGCTTACATCTTAACTTTGCTCTAATCCAGTGTGATTTTTTCAGTGACAATCTTCTGTCACTCAATATCCAGCTTACTTATAACATGATTTTTTATTGCTCTCCTAGTTCATGTAGAAATTTTCAAGATAATACTCTTGTTTAATTAAACAGAATCCCTCTTCCTAAGCTTTATCAAAGGATGTAAGGCTCCAATATATGGTTTCATAGACATTGATAAGATGCAGTCTTGTGATGGTGAAGATGGTGAGGGTCTCAGCCCCTGGCTGGTGCTCAGCCAGGGGCTTTTAGTTTAGCTCATTGTTCATTTGATAATATTTAATGCATGGAAATATTTGTTTTCTCCCTAAATATTTTTATCGCCTTATAAATATTAAAGCTTAAAACTACATTGAATTTTTTGAAGATTTGGGGTTGAATACTTTAGCTCAGAATGTTGGAGAAGATGCCAGATTTTCAAAGTTGTGTGTGTATGTGTACATATGCTCTGTCAATCAAGGTAAAATACCTATTATATAATATTTAGTAACTGATGGGAATAATCAAATGAGTTTCCTCTAAGAAACTAAGCATATTTATTATAGGGATCTAAAAGAAATTTTACTTTAGAACTAGTAAACATGAACCTCAACTATATTGGCATAGCAGCTGTATTACTGAACTTCATATACCCTTTTATAGTGACTAACAAAGTCAGTTTAAACATGAAAATAGATTTTGGTATCTCAAATATCGTTCTAGGTATGCTGTGTTTTTTCATTATAGCTCTTAACAGAGCAGCCTTTAGTTGAAATTTTATGATAACTTATTTTCTGAACATGTAAAATTATTATTCCCTGTTTGTTTTATGATTTATCTACCTTTAGTTGTCATTTGATGACTGTTGAAGCTCTAAGCTGCAAGAGAGTAGGAATCATTGTCTCATTTGGGTTGTAATATCCTCAGCACCACAGAAATGAATATTATTTATATATTCTTACATATACCCATATGCCTATGTATGGATATATATTTTAACAGTAAAAATTGCAAATTAATATAAAACCTGTTTTGAACTTTATCTGTTGTCTTGGTGGATAATGATTTTTTTAATTGTTGATTCAGTATGTCACTTAACTCTCGTATTTTACTTTTCTAGTTGCTCTTTATTTGCTTCTAAATCTTGCTGAGGATACTCGTACAGAACTGAAGATGAGAAACAAGAATATTGTTCACATGCTGGTGAAGGCTCTTGATCGGGACAATTTTGAGCTGCTCATTCTCGTTGTATCATTCTTAAAGAAACTCAGCATTTTTATGGAGAATAAAAATGATATGGTAACTTTCAAAGCTTCTTTATACAGACCAGCATAGCCATATCCATATTAAGATATTCTGATAAAAAGTAAACATTTACCCTTCTCCTAAGGTAAATCTGAAAGAAGATGTTACAGTAGCCCTAACAGCTATAGCCTCTAGAAATTTCATTTTTAAAATGGTGAGGGACCAAGAAATGGCAGCTCGTGTTTGTCAGACTGGCTACTTAGGAGGTGAAGGCCTGGAGGGTCTAGCTGTAAGACCAGCCCAGACAGAAAAGTCTGTGAGATTCTATTTCCAGTTAAACAACAGAATGCTGGGATGGACGTAGCTCAAGACAAAGCTGAGTGAGGAAAGCACAAAGCTCTGAGATAAAGCCCTGGGACCAGCACACGCACACACACACATGTGCACAAAGTATAGAGATGGACGATCCATTTATAAGGTTGTATTATCCACTTAAAGTTTTAGTTATTTGTGCTATTGATGTGAACTACCGCTGGTTTACTTTTTAGACAGATATTTAAAAATAAATATGTACCTGAAATATTCTCTCAATTAGTGTTTAAGTTATATCATATTACTTATATAATATTGATTATGTCCACGTAATAAATTATTAATATAACAAAAAGTGAATCAATGCAATTATCAGAGGGACAACAGAGAGGCTGTATGGTTACATAGATTGCTGATTTTTCTTACTAATAATTCTTGAGAGTTTTTCTATATTTTTGATGCATCGCTATCCCTTTTATCAGTCATGTTTGCAAGAATTTTCTTTTTTAATGGCTTGCCTTTTGATTCCCTTATCCTATGAAGAGCATAGTTTTTAATTTTGATAAGTCCAGCATAAAAATGATTTTAATTGAGTATATTTCACTATTGTATTTAAGAAATCCTTGTTTGACTTACGTTCATAAAGAGTTTTTTCCTGCATTTTGTTTAAGTAGCTTTATGGGGAGAGGTTTTTGTTGGATTGGATCCATTTGTTTTGAGTTAAGTTGGAATGTGGTACAAGGTATGGGTTAAGATTCACTTTTAAATATAGATGTCCATTTTAGTTCAGTTCTGGTGTCCTTTTGTTAAAAACTTATTTTCTTTCATCATTGAACTGCCTTTCAGCCTTATCAAAATTGTACTTTCATTGAAAAGCAATTAACCATACCTTAGTGGTTCTGGTTTTAGATACTGTCTTCTGTTCCTTTAAACTGTATTTCTTTTCACCAATACCTCTTTCTCCTAATTACTGAAGCTTTAAAATAAGGTAGTATGGAGCCTCAGGGGCTACTATTTTTCAAAAATTATTGTGGCAAGTCTATATTACTTGTAGTGTATACAGAAACCTGAAGTAAAAAAGGTTTTCTTTGTAAAAATGTATGTTCTGGATGTGGCGCTGTGGCTCAAAGTAATAGAGTGCTATCCTTGAGTGAAAGAGCTCAGGGTCAGTGCCCAGGCCCTGACCAAAAAAAAAGTATGTTCTTACGATGTCATGGCATGACAGGAAAAAAGTAGAGTTCTATTATTAATGTGATTTTTTACAAGGCGAGTGGGAAGTTGCAAGAAGCATATGAAAAACACAATATACATAAATGTTTTAGATTTCCAGTAAAAGGAAAAGTGAAATGATTAATGACTTTGCTGTCATCAAAGAATGAAATTATATAGAATTTCTGTTTTTAGCATTTACTCTATAACTTAAAGATATGAGATGTTTTTATAAATTTGTTTTTGATAGCTACCTTTAAAGGCTTAATATTGGGTCTCCATTGACAAATTAGTAATTGGTAACGCCCCCTGTAATTCTCACTGCATAGTGTTAATAGGTATGTTGATACAAATGTATAGAAAATCTATACAAGTCCTTCGTAAAATGAGCAGATAGCATTCGAGGTTTGGCAGGTCAGCTAGCCTCTGTGGAGCTGCCCGGATCTCCCACTGCGGTAGAGCCCATAAGCCAGCGAGCGTGTTTCCCCCACCAGTAGGTCAGATGGTGGGCCACATCAGACCCACAAGCTGAGGTCTGCTGGTCTGCTCTAATGTTGTCTTAAGAAGCCCAACTTACAAGATTTACAGCTGTCCATTGACTGTCATCTCAAAGTAAGCATGACAGAATTTCAGATAATTCTTCACCCTCATTTTCCTACTTATTAGCATTCTTCATTAACTGAAGAAAAGGGGCTAGAGATTTCCACTTCTATGTTATCAGGGGATGTGGATCTCAGAAATGTTCCAACTGGGGCTGGGAAGGTGGCTCAGTGGTAGAGTGCTTGCCTTGCATGCATGAGTTTGATTCCCTGGGTTCAATTCCTCAGCACCACATAAGCAAAAAAAAAAAACAAAAAGCAGGAAGTGGTGCTGTGGCTCAAGTGGTAGAGCGCTAGCCTTGAGCTGAAGAGCTGAGGGACAGCGCCCAGGCCCAGAGTTCAGGCCCCACGACCAGACCCTCCCCCCTCCCCCAAAAAAAGAAATGTTCCAAACTTTGAAACTACTTTGACCACATCAGCCCTTGATAAGTGACCTTGTCATTAAGGACTCTCTCCTATAGAATAACATCTGAACATCTAGCAGAGTATTAAAAGCCTTCCTTTGTAATCTAAAACTGTCTATGCTTCTGCCAATCCTCACATACACTTTATATCCTGATTCCTCAATAAACTCCTTTATTGTTAAACACCCGTTCATTAGCTTTTCTACATCCTAGATGGTCATTCCCTTTCTCTCTTCTTTTCTTCCCTTTTTTCTCTCCCTTCCTCCCTCCCTTCCTCCCTCCCTTTCTTCCTTCCTTTGTTTGCTTCTTTTCTTCTACATAGGTTAATGCCTTCTTCCATATTGTATCCAGAGTACTTTTGTGCATTGAATTTTTATCAGATTGTCTATTTTCAATCACATAGTACATTCATTGTCCTACTTGTTCATTCTTACTAGAATAAGGGACCCTTAAAGGCCAAGATGAACTTGTGTTTGATCTTGTTCAAGGTCTGGTAGATAGTGGGTGGTGTTAATTATTACATTATTTTCAAGGATCAAGTGTCATTTGTCTTTCAGTTGATGAAGCCAAATAAGGGAAGGAAGGAATAACGGAGATATTCCCCTCAAAAATTTGATCTCAGAAAACTTTACAGATTGAAATAAAACATAAAATTAATTCATCATTACAGAAAGCATAGATATTCATTAAATAAATACAAAGGAAAGTAATTATTTGTAATCTTTTGTGTCTTATTTTGTAATAGAACCTCAGTGCATTTTATCATTTTACATAGGTAGAAATGGATATTGTTGAAAAACTGGTAAAAATGATACCTTGTGAGCATGAAGATCTCCTGAATATCACCCTCCGGCTTTTACTCAACCTGTCCTTCGACACAGGACTGAGGAATAAGATGGTACAAGTTGGACTTCTTCCAAAGCTCACTGCACTCCTAGGTATGCTTTTGGAAAATTAATGACAATGAAATTTCATTGGAAAATTAAGATCTGTGTTCAAAAGCCTTCCGAACAAAAAAGTCTTCTGGGCCAAGTGTGGTGGCACACATATAATACCAGGAGGTAGAAATAGGAGAGTTGTGGTTCAAGACTAGTCCAGACCAAAGCTAGCAAGACCCTCTCTCAAGATCAGCCAGAAATGGTTGACACATCCATAATCCCAGTTGCTTGGGTAAAGTAAGAGGATGGCAGTCTTTGTACCATGTAAAATCATGCAGCTCATCTGCAAAGCAACTAAAAGAGATGAGCCTTGAGTGTCCGAGTGCTTACCTAGCAAGTGTAAGACCAGTTTCAATCCCCATCACCCCCGTCTCCCAAAAATGATTTCTAGGAAATTACTCACATGATACTCACTTCATTATTTGTTAAACAAGTAATAAATCTGAGGATATAAGATATGATACCCAATACACAAATGGATTTTTTTCTAGAGCTCAATTTCCAGAGTCTATCTTATTAGAATTATGATTGTTTACTTTTAACCATATAACCTTGAATAGGTTACCCAAAGCATTTGTTATTTGGTTTTCTTATGTCCAAAATGATGTAATAATCACCTAAAACTTAGAGAGTTCATTTTAATATTAAAGTATTGCATACAAAGTGCTTAGAACAGTACCTTATAGGCATATAGTGTTTCCTTAATAAGTTTTAGCTATTGTCATTTTCTTTAACGTCATCATCATCTGGTACACTGTTTGTACCCCTTGGTGAGATGGTGATTCTCTGAGGTGTCTTGGTGTGTGCTTGAATTAGTGGATGTCTCACCTTCATTCTTGAAATCTGGTAATGAGCTTGTCCTTCCATGAAGTCTAGAGCTTATTTTCTCCAAGTCTGTGGCCACTGCTGCGGCTTTACCACTAGATGGCACCACAAACCCAGTTTTCTGGTGAACCCCCCCTGGGTGTATTGTCGCTGTGTCTGCCCTAGGGGAAAAGCCCAAACCCCAGGTCTGCGCCTGGGCAGTACAGGAGTCTGAAAACAATAGTTGCTATGAGCCCCAGGCAGGCCCCCGGTGAGTGTCTGTGTTTGCCGGCCTGCGTTGAGGTTCTTCTGATAGTCTGTCACCTGGACTCGCCATGGAACGCTCAGTCTTGAATTTTAAAGCAATTACTTGTTCCAGTCTCTTCCTCCTTCCCTCAAGGACACAGTGATTCTCGGCTGTTTCACCTGGGGAGGAGGGGTGTGATGAGGCTGGTGGTCTTCGGCCACCTACACTGCAGTGCTGGGCTGCAGTGGTGAGAACTGAGGCTCTGGGCAGGACCAAAGCCCGGGCTGGGATGGTTTGCCCACTGTTCTGGAGAACCTGTGCTGAGCCTGGGCAGGCAGCCCCAGGTCCAGTCCTCTGGAGTCCTCGGCCCCCTCGAGGTCCTAGGGCATATTCAGATGCTCTGTCCACAGGCACTGGGTATGGTCATGGGCAATTTGGATGCACTGGTGTCACGCTCCACCAGGCTCCACCAGCTTGGCACTGAGATTCAAGGCAAAGTCCTTTGCTTATTACCTACCCTGCCCCCTAGAAACTGGATTCTTCCTCTGTGCCACACTGCACAGAGTTGAGGAAGGGTTGTGAAGCAGCCCCTGGCCACTGGATCCATGTCGTCCAGAGGGTCCATCCAGGGGAACGGGTCTGGAGACAGCATGCAGAGTGCAGGGTTTCAAGTTTAAGACCTGAACTTAATGGAAGCGTTCTTTTCATGCTGGGTTGGTTAGGGCTGGGGGAGTATGACACAGGCAACTTTCCGTCCTGCCTTCCTCGTGCATTATTCTTTATTGTATGCTAAAAGCCATACCTGCTCCTTAGCCCTTTTGAGGTGGTTTCATGTAGGATAGCTGTTAAGATGACTGCTCTTGTGCACAGGGAGACGGGCATTGGAGGATCTTGCTCTACCACCGTCTTGGTTTGACTTTGGTAAGGAACCTAATCCCATACACAGGTCTCTGTCCCCAGGATATATTCAACCCCACCCCAAACATGGATTATGTTTCTGAATTTGGGGAACATAACCAGTCAGTAGCAGTCTTTAAAGTATATCTTTATTTTTTAATACATTTTTATATTTATTTTTCAACTGATAAGATTTTTTTTCCAGTACTGGGAATTGAATGAACCCAGGACTTCTCAACTGCTAGACAAACACTTTGCCATTAGAACTATGTCCCTAGCCTCTTTCAGAAACCTGAAATTTTTATTGAAAGCACCATAGCACTGTGATTAAAATCATGGGTTTTGTAAACAAGTTGAAGTGCTGTGTGTGTCTATCGTTCTTTATGATCATTTATTCACATATGCAGTGGTGAGGATAATATACAAGTCTGTGAGTGAGTATTACTGTGTTCTAGAATTTCAAATGTCCACATGGCTCCAGAATCTTTAGAACCCATGCAGTCATAGCATTTATAACTGCTAAATATTTTCCTTTGTTTTATTTTAAATTATTTATATGTTTTAAATTTTAAATTATATATATGTATATATTATTTATATGTATGTTACATATATTGACATATAATTTTTAAGCAGTTTTCTGTTTTGACTCCAATTCTCTGGCCAATACTCTTTTCCTGGGGCAGCAGTAGTCTGCATTGTCTCCTGCTCAGGCTCTTGCTCAGGGAATCCTCCTTTCTAGGCTGGATCCTCAGGTTTTGCTCACATATTTCATACAGATATGCTATTGTTTCTTCCATCCTAAGAAACATTGTTCGTAATTCTCTCATCCTCCATCTGTGATATCATTTCTTTGCTCATCATTTCCCGGGCACCGTGCTTCCTCTCCCCTTCATACTCATTCTCACCTTTCTGTTCTCCCCATGTCTGCCTGTCTCCCTCTCCTCTCCTCTTCCTCCTTGTTCCTCTCATTTTCTTTCCCTACCCTCATTGTACTTCATTTCTAACCTCCACTTCGCTAAAGCCAGTGGTCAGTTCCCTGTACTCAACGTTGCTCAACTTATCAGCAGCCTTTCCTACAATATCTTCCTCCCCTAACTTTACACATTTGTTTTCCTGGACACAGTACTTTTGTGGTTTACCTTTCCAGTGCTTAGACCTTTCGCTTTCCTCTTCTGCTTCCCTCTCATCTCTCTAATCTACAGGCATAGAATGCACTTCAGGTTTTACTCCTAGAACTTTTCCCTCTATTTGTATTTATTGTCTTGGTGTCTTCCTCCATTCCATTTAAATACTCTGCCTATACTGATAACTCCCAAGCAGAAACATAATCCCAGCTTCCTCTCTGATTTTTACTCCAAACATTACCATTTGGAAGCTTTATTAGCAGCTCAGATTTAGTAAATTTAAACATCAGCCTCCTGATTGCCATCCTACCTTTACCTAATTCCAGTATTTTCAGTCTTCTTAGCTCAGTATATAGTAACATCATCTTTCTAGTTATCTAGACCAAAACTCAGGGCCAGGGGACAGGAAGAGCAGACATTATTCTTGACTGCTGCCTTTCTTCCCAACTTACATGTGGTTTGTTGGGTAATCTAGTCAAAGCTTGTCTGTAGACTATTACTGCTACTCCCTGGTCCCAGCCACCTTCCTGTTTCCTGATTTAATATTGTAGCATTCATCTGAGCTGTGTTTATACCCTTGCCTCAGATTCTTCTTAACATGGCACACAGGTATCAAATTTAAGTTAAATCTCCATCCATCCTCAGGTGACTTCTCATAATGCTAACCTGTCTCCTCACCACTGTAACATACCTTCAGGTGCTCTGGCTAAGGGAATATTGGCCTCACTGCTATTTCTTGAACTCAGCAGGTAACCCTGCTATTTCTACTGCCTAGAATATGCATAGGCTTATTGCTTTCTTTTGATGTGTTAGTAATGGGGCTTGAACTCAGGGCCAGGACACTGCCCCTTAGCCTTTTTTGCTCAAGGCTGGTGCTCTACCATTTGAGCTATATCTCTACTCTGGTGGTTAATTGGAGATAAGCATCTCGTGAACTTTTCTACATGGGCTGGCTTCAAGCCACACTTGTCAGATCTCAGTCTGCTGAGTAACTAGGATTACCGGCGTGGGCCGTCAGTGCCCGGCTCATCTCCAGTTTTTGTGTGGCCTTTCGCCTCATCTCTTTTGGTCTTTGATGTTTGCTAGGCTATTAAAAATGTAAACATTAGGTCCTGATGCTCGTTTTACCATTTTCCTATTTCACTTTTCTCCATAGTACTTACTAAATAACATATTTCATATAATTTTCTTTGCCGTACCCATGTACTAATACCTCTAACTACCACATCCCCGAAATTATAAGCTTCATACAAATAAAAGTTGAGTCTGTGTTTTTCATGTTTCTATTCTCAATGCCTAGAACAATACCAGACATATTATAGGATCTTAGTATTTTATGAATGGTTAGATAGGTGGATGGAAGAAAGGAATAAAGATCCAAAGAGCTGAGCTTGAGACTTTGCTTTACTCTTTTTTAACTGAGTGTGGTATTAAGTAAACCAATGGATGTTCACTGAATTTTTCATCTTATTACAGAAAATAAGGGAATAAAATAGAGAATTGCTCTGAGAATCAGATGAGAGAATTAGCAGGTATTGATTTTATATCTAGAAAGACTCAAAAATGTTAGTCAAGGTAAAGAGGAAGAAAAGAAAGGAAAAGACTTAATAAAGTGAATGGTTACTGAATGAGATATCCACATTGGACAAGAAGAGACCGAAACCTGACTCTCCATCAGAAGTAGTTAGAGAAGCACTATTCACATAAATCAAAATGAGAGATTTAATCCTATTAGCAAACTGTTCCTGAAAAGTATTCAGAAGTCTGTAATATACAAATAGAATACAAATTGCCCTACCTTGATACATCCCTTAGTTCATTCATAAGCAGAAATGAGAAGTTATTTAAAAAACGAGAAACTGAGGCCTCACATGCAGTGTTGTACTACCTGGGGAGTAACGGGGTCCCAGCTCAAGGGCAGCTCT